ATATTTATATGCTGAGATTTTTAAATAAAATTTTATAAAAATAAATATTAACCAATTTTTAAATATTTAATAATTTTAAAAATTAATATTAGATAATATTTAATAATTTTTAAAGTATTTTTGAATATTCAATAGTTAAAAATATGAAGATATAAGATAAAATATATAAGTGAAATAAGAGAAAAAAAATATTAGGAATTTCAAATTCTTACCTTTTTGAGAGAATTTGAAATTCTACTATTTCAAAGAATTTTACAAATGCTTGGATTTCAAATTCTTTGTAAATTCTCTATCCAAACAAAATATTTCACCTCAAAGAATTTGAAATTCTTCAAATAAATGAATCACTCCATTAAAATTTCTCATCCAAACATACTCTTAAAATAATGTAGAAATCCTAATATACACTTCAACTTGATATATATGTTACACTTATAGCAACATAAACGTGGAGGCAATTGTGAAAAGCAGAACAAAGGGCCTGACAACTATTTATTATTATATTTTAGTGTATAAAATTTGGATACAATTTCTTAAGTGTGATTGATACTTTTCTCCAATTACATGAGTTTTAATTCGATAGTATATATAAATGTATATTAATGAGACTTACATTAAATACACTTACATAATATTGAAATAAAACTTCAATTCTTATTGAAGAACAACATCAACTGCATGAAAGGACCTGGACATAAGTTTTTTCTATTTTAGTTTCAAAAAGAGGTTGAGCTTGCACATGTATCAATAAATGTTTGGTAATAATCTAATGCAAAACATGAGATAGGTTTGCGTGTGGTATCTGAAGTTGCGCCAACAACAGTTAGTTAATGCTAACGTGCATGCAGTAAATACAAAGATGCTGAGATTGAATGCTTTAATTTTGCTGCACATGATACCGCGATGTGTATGCGTTTTTGCAACCGTGTGAGGGCTGAGCATGCCTATAATAAATGCCTGGCACAAAAAATTTGGTGTTAGAGACAGAAAGTTACGCCACCCATTGGTGATGGAACCATTATTTCATGACTTGAAAACTTTATCAAACATGTTTCTGTTGCCTGATATATATCTTGAAGCCAATCCAGGTGTACTTTGCTCATTTTTTGCATGCTGCTTCATATCCTACTTCCTCTATTCCCCCATATTCCTATTTGAAAGAGCGAATGAGTATTCTCAATTCTGTCATGCATGTGATTTAGTGTTTATATTTATAAATTAATCTGCATATTTAATAAATGGGAAAACTCGCGTAACAATGTCATTGCCAATGCTTCAGGTGGAAGAAACTTTCTCAGTCAAGTTTCTCTGAAAATTGTTCAAGTAAACACTTGTTATGAAATAGATGTGATGAAACTTAGTTATGATTTCTTGATATTTCAATTTTTTAAACGACTGGCTGACACTTCTATTTTTCTTTCACTTTTATGACATTATCTATAGCTATAATGAAATAGTTATACGATTTTTTTAATTTATTTTTAAGTCATCATATTATGTCTCAAATATAAAGTATTTATCAACTTATCAAAAATTGTTAACACAAATAATTTAGCACTTATATTTTTTAACCAATAATCGAGGTTTAATCTCCGATTCAAGTATGAAGTCATGATTAAAAATATCATTTTACTCTTATAAAGATAAAATAATTTCATTGAATTTCTTTCTCTAATAATATTTTTTTTTTCACTTACAAAACTTGAATTTGATACTTTATTAAAAAAAATAGTCATTACTTAAATCAATGACATGTTGGTACATTTTTTCTTATTATTTATAGAAATATTCAATATATTGTACAGGTTTTAGTAGTTCAACAGCTCAATTGACTGAAACTGAGTGCCTATTTGTTTCGTAGACGAATATAAAATTTATTTGAAAAAAGTATATTTCTCAACCAAAAAAAGTCCTAAAATATGAAATCTTTAGGATTTGAAGCATAGATTTATATGTAATCATGCAAATGCAAATACTTCCCATTCTTTTGTCTATGAATAAGTTTTTATTAATTTCATATAGCATTACCAATGCATGCATGTAACTTACCTACACTATAACACTATTTATGCCAGAGTAAACGTATGTTTGGAAACACGGTGCGAAAGGAATTTTCCTCTGTTCAATGCATTAAACGCGTAAGTAATATTTTTCTTATATAAAGTTTTGCCTGAATACGGTGCCTGTACATACAATTAATCAAAAATACAATAACTCCATATCAAAGTTATATTAATGTTTTCTCATACATATTGTATTCATGTAGAAGTTACCTACTCTCTCCGATCTCGAAGAAAAAAATGTTAATATATATATATATATTTATTTATTTTGATAAGACATTATTATTAGTTCACGAAAATTTTAAACACATCTTCAATATCAAAGATTTGATATTTTGAATGTGAAGTTCGTAAAATTTTTGTGAGTAATTCCATAATGATTTAATAAGTCCAACAACACTTTTTAAGATAAACTCTCCTATCATCTTATAATATAAATTTGAATCTAATTTCATAATCCTATTTCTTACACCGTGAGACCAACAGTTCAAGATTTAATCCTTACATTGTATTATTAAGACCTGAGATACAAAAGCATTATTTTTGACAATGCCTGATCAAATGTCAAAGATTAAATTAGACGCATTAATGTTGCTCAAATTAAGAAATCATTCGCCATGATTAATGCGCTCCCTATTCTTTATCTCCTTTTCGTTAATTTTGGATGTGAATTGTGAACAATTCCAGAAACAGAGTAGAAACTAGAAACAGAAAATAAGGAATTGCAGAAGGGTATTCCCAATTTCAAATAGGAGTTATCTTTCTGAACTAGAAGTATTGAATACACAGCCACAACTAGACACTGCAAAATAAAATAATTAATCGAACAATGCAACGCTTAAGTTGATTTTCCATCGTTTACAAATTGAGATGAGTCTAAGGTTCTTCCCAGAAATTATCCATAAACTCAGTCTCTTTATATATGTGGATCACAAACACTAAAAACTTTGAGCTTCAATTCTGTTTATATAAATGACTTGAGGTGAAGGATAAGTGAATATGAAATATCAGAGGAAAAAACAAGTCCTTTTCTTGCGTGGTTTCTTCTTTGGCTTTGGTGGCCTTAATGCAACCTTTATTGCAGCATCAAAAACTGTCTTCACATTCTGCAAACAAAGCAAAAAAAGGATAATTCTAAGTTTCTAACAATCGCTTCAATGTAATTTACTTCCCAATTGAGATTCAGAGATCATCTGTTGCTCACTTGCTGCAATAAATTGAATACAAAATAACAATAATTTATGACACTCTGTATAATTTCTTTTACACAGATATCAAATAAGAATTTACCATATTACTACATCATATTATTTGACAATATAATATAGCAGTATAATGAATTTCTATTGGACGTTTGTGTACTTCTACATTTTACACTAACTAACAGTAAATATAAATTAAACTCTACAAACAATGCTTCTTTAACTTCATCTTGATCTATATAACATGATTTCACTTCAAAATATGGATCAAAATACTTGAATCCAATGAAGTGCAGGTATTTTACCTGCTGTGTTTTGGAGCTGCACTCAATGTAAGTGACTGCACCGATCATTTTCTTCAATTCTTCACCCTGTTCACCACAATCTTTGTTAAATTCATTATACATGCAAAAGAATTTCGGTTTCAATATAAGCTTTTGTTTGTTTAATTTGACGATGACATGCCTGAGCAGTTGTTATTCGTGTGGCTCCAGGATGATCAGTCAGAAATTGCTTGTCATCTCGCAAATCTGTGCATACGTCAGATTTGAATGGAAACTTGTATTAGGTTTGAAGTCCATTGACGAATGTTACAAGTATTGCTTGTTTTTTAAGTAACAACCATATGAAATTTGACAAGATATTTGATGATATTACACATGAAACTGATTTACGTTAAATACAAAAAGTAAATGAAGTATAATTGGAAGACATGTTTCGTTTCTCGTATTAATCACAAAATCCATTGTGGCTAACTTTTATAATAAAGTCTAATTACTTCCTCTGCTTTCTGCCATTGACATGAGGCATATCATAACATTCAATTGAAAATATGTTGATAAGTATTGCCTCTATAGGCACAGGAGGATTGGTACAGAGTGAGTAATGCATAATAAAAAAGGATCCAGGCTTGCTTTATCCATGATAAAGTAAAAATTAAGAATCAGCACAAAGATTGTGTTTTGTATACCCAAGTTTAATTTTCGCCATAATAGCAACAAAATAAAGTAAAAAATAAAAATCATTACTTGTCAACCCATGATGATGATTGTTATGCTACTTCAATGCAATTATCTTACCTAGTTTTGTTCCCACCAGCACTATAGGCACATTTGGAGCATAATGTCTCAGCTCAGGTATCCACTGTTTGCCAAGAATCAAACATGAATGTGCATATTAATTTTAAACATTTTACAATACAAATATGAAAAGGTAACTACAGTTACAAAACAATGAAAGAACCTTTTTGGAAATGTTCTCATAACTGGCTTTACTGATGAGAGAATAGCACAACAAAAACACATCAGCTCCTCTATAGCTTAAAGGCCTCAGCCTGTTGTAATCTTCTTGTCCTACAATCCACAAATTAAACCAATCACATTCACTCATGAATTCAAATTTAATGAGAATGTGAACTTAAAAAGAAGAATAACCAACCTGCAGTATCCCATAAACCAAGATTAACAGTACTACCATCCACAGTTACATTAGCACTGAAATTGTCAAACACAGTTGGAACATAATCCTATCATAGAGAAAAGCAAAGGAAAAGAATGTTAACTCCTTCAACCATGATTCACCTTCTTCTAATGCATGTAATGCACAATATTGAACCTTATAACTAACAGAAACATACCGTGGGAAAGGTATTGCTGGTATAGGATATAAGCATGCATGTCTTTCCCACAGCACCATCTCCAACTGTTACACACTTGATAAACCTGGCAGTACTCATTGTCTTATGTTGTTCTTGTTCTTTTGGGAAATACTCTAATACTTGGAAACAATATTTATGAAGATGTTTGAGGTGGCTATGCCTTAACGACCTAGGAGCAAGTCTAGTAGTACCTACTTTTGTTATGGCTCATGGAATTGATCATATTTATAAATTGTGATCATTGCCCTGAAAAGCATTTCTTTTCTTTAAGTGCAAGGACACAAAAAACTAGATATGGTAGCAAAGTAGGTATAGTGCTGGCGTTAGTTGGTTAAGTGTGGGAGAAGGGAGGTAATGAATGATGAAAAGCAAAGAATTTGCTTAATTAACCGATACACTATGATGAGATTAAAGAACAAATTGAGGTATGATATGATGCAAAAGAAAGTCAAATAGTTTGTTGCAATCTATTCGGTATGTAATGCCTTTGTTCCTAATTATATTTCTTGGTAGTTATGCTTGAATGGATTGATTGAGCTAGCATTGGTTTTCTACTTTTCTTTGTCCCTGGGTCCACTTCTGTTAGAAAAATCCAAAAGTGAATTGCTTTTTACTTCACCTCACTGAACAACTATGGGAAAAGAGAAATGGTATCTGTATGACAAAATGTGCAACAAAATTTACGAGAGAAAGACAAATGTGAAATGTAATAAATGACGTAAAAAGAATAGAAAATCATATTGTATAAATTATTCTATGAATTATTGTGTGTATATTACATCTCACCTCATTTAAAAAAGAAAAATACTGAGCAATGTAATGTCTATGCTATTATGCTTGGCAAATGTGAAAAAAAGGTAAAGTTGTTGTTGTTGATGTTTTTTTTAATGCGTTGAAGAGCGTTACGAAGCTGTCGTGATTTAAATTAATTTTCTTTTATCTAATTTTTTTCTTGGTGAATCTTTTATCTACATTTCAGTTCAATCATACTGTCTATAATCACGAGCATTTTCTTTTACCCAAATTGAAACTTTTATAAGGCTACTCCAACAAAGATGTATTAAAAGAGAATTATATAATATTATTTGTATGGAGTTAATTGTTACACAATTGTTATTGTAATTCTCATACTTGTAGGTTCGTTTCTACCTAACAAAGTGCAATTCGATTTCTTAGGTAAGGTTTCGTATGTTTGGGATTTTTGGAAGAAAATAATATGGTTGAAATGAAAGACTCTACTAAAAATAATTAATTATAAGAGTAATTATTAATAAAATTGATAATATTTTGATATCCATAAGAGAAAAAAAAATATTTTATTGAATTGCCATTTTCTTTTTCCGATACTTTGTGTTGTTATTCATAGTGACGTGTTGTTAAGGTTTATTTATTTATTTATTAATTAATGATATCTTCAAAGGGTTGTTTTTGGAGATTAAAAAAATAAAAAAAAAATGTTTTTAAATTAAGAGTTGTATTATATTTTTAAAAGAGAAATCTACCAACCTTATTTCTAATACTTTTTTTTATAATCTTTTTATTATTAACTAACATATATTGAAAATTACATATTTTGATACGTTTAGGCCTCATTTAAAGAAATCCTCTCCTTGTTTAGTGGTAGAATTCATCCAAATTTTTAATGTTTAACAAATTTAAACTAATAATGTGGTGCTAAAAAAAATATTAAAAAGAGTAGCTAACATTTCTCTTTTTAAAATTATATTTACATTAAAGAATTCCCTTGACAGGTATCCTCAAGTTTGATGTGAATTCAAGAGTCTAATGATAGTGAATTATACAATGTATGACCTGATATGATTTAGGTTGGACATACTATTAAAAAATGTCCTTCATGACAGTTTCTAATTTTTTTGAAATGGTGTGAATGATGTCTTAGTCACGTGTGAGATAACTTATGTAGATTCACATGCAATATTGTTATATTGGACTCCAAAGTCTGAGATCCATAGAATTTTATGGACTAGGACTTTTCTTAACAATATTAATGCACTAGGGTGTGAATTAATCATAATTAAGCATTAAGTTAAAAAATTTAGGTCGATTAGTGATATGATCGTAATAATATATAAGTAAAAAATATTTTTCATCTTATAACTTTATTTTATAAGATTGAGTTATGTATAATAAATTTACTTTTTTAATATGATATCAATGCAATACTATCTATCGTGAATATTTTTATATATTTTTTATTATTTTCTTGTGTGGATCAAGTGTTAATTAGAGTGGGCTTGACTAACGTTAATAATACTTGGCTTGTTCAACTCTAAGGCTGACACTAACAAAAAAATATAGTACAAAAGATACTTTGTTATCATACAAAAAAATATAGTACAAAAGAAACTTTGTTATCGTACATTATGTCGTTATACTCACTCTTCCTTACACTCCTATTTTGTCATTTCATTTCCGCACTTCTTCTTGTGCTCTTCATCACTTCAACAAAAAAATGCTTCATTTTTGTTGCCCAACTATTGGCCAAACACCAACACGTTCTCACAACCAAACAAAGAATGTCCACTATTGTTGTCGTGTAAGGTGCCACCACCGCTTAGATGATGAATGGTTGGACATGAGGTTGGTGGTGACCAGGGACGGAGCCAGGATTTCAATACTGGGGGTGCCATATAGGGGGTGCCATATAGTAATATACATATGAGTTTATATTAAAAATATGAGTTTATATTAAAAATAGGGGGTGCCATATAGTAATATATATGTATATAAAAAAAAATTAAAATTGTTGGGGGGGCCGTGGCACCCGTAGGTCCCCCCTTGGCTCCGTCCTTGGTGGTGACCTCTAGTGGCCAAAGATTGAGACAAAGTTACCTCTCAATAGTTCATTGTGCGACACATCAACACATTGTTAAAACATAAAAACATTGAAAAGGGTGATAGAAAAATTGAAAAAGAAAAATGGAAGAGACTATAAAGAGGGAGGAAGAGGCTGAGAGAAGAAACAAAGATATTTGAAATATATAAAGAGAAGAGAGGGACGAGAAGTAAATTTTGTTTTTATGCTCAGATGAAATAATAGTGTCATGTTGACACCAACTCCAATGCTATTATTAGCATCAAGGTCGACCTAATCAACTCTAAAATATAGTTAATTTTTAAAAATTATTATTTAGTATTAGTTAGGACAATGTTAACAAATTTTTTTAATTTTAGTAACATAAGATATATTTGAAATATATAAAGAGGAGTTGATCGACCAATTTGGGGTAATTTTTAAAATTATTTACGTAAATGAGGTTGTTTTTAAACTATTTATACTTTTGGGGTTCTTTTTACAGTGTCGTTATTGGCCACAACAACATACATGCCACGTGTATTTTTTGAAACCATGAAAGCCATATTATGGAAGTCGTTATAGCCGATAACGAATCAAAATGGCTCAGTAATTAAATATTTATTTATAAAATAATTTTTTAACAAATATAATTTAAAAAAATAAAACTAAAAATATTTAAAATTGTTAAACAAATAAAACAGAAATTTAAAATTTAAATATAAAAAAAATTGATAATATAAAATAGAATAAAAGAAAATAATAATAAAAAAAAAAAATTAAAAGGTGGTCGTCATGGCCTATAGCGACACACTGTAGCTTGACCTATAGCGCCACTTATTAAATAATTTTTTATAAAATAATTTGTAACAATTTGAATAAAATAAATAAATTTAAAAGTACTTAAAATTATTAAACGAATAAAATAGAAATTTAAAATTAAAATATGAAAAAAATTGATAATATAAAATGGAATAAAAGAAAATAAATAAAAAATTAAAAGGTGGTCACTATGGCCTATAGCGACACACTGTCGCTACGACATTGCAAAAATTTAATTTATTAGGGACTAAATTGAGACCAAAAATTAAAGTGGAACTAAATTGAAACAAACAATTATAATAAGGGACCAAATTAGGTTTTTAGCTTACAAGAAAACTTTCTATAAAGGTTGATGTTTAACCCGACATAGAAAACTCTTTTATGTTGAATGTAATTACATCTATCATAGAATGTATTGATAAAGGTCAACATTTAAGTTGATCTCTACTTTTCTATGACAATGCAATTAGATCTAACATAAAAAGAGTTTCATATTGTTCCTTGTAACCCTCCTTTTCTTCCTTCTCTTTGACAAGATTATTGTGTTCCTTGCATTCATGAACGTGTTTCCTTCTCTGGCAACTTCAATGCATGCATTTCGACCACCACCATGACCCAATGTCATTAGTTACTATATGCGTCTCCTTCTCTTGCATGTGTCTCATCCTGGGTTCATGGAGTTCTCCATTTTCTCTTTTATTTTTATTGCATTAGTATTGATTTGTTGGTGTTGTTTTATTGTTGTTGAATGATTTAGAGAGATGCTATGATAAAATGGTTGTGGCTTGGGGTTTGTTTTTATAATATTGTTGTTGAATGATTTAGAGAGATGCTATGATAAAATGGTTGTGGCTTGGGTTTTTTTTTTTTATAATGCATATCAAGTGCTCGTATAAATGTCGAAGCCAATTTGTGAATTATTGGCAAGTTGATTTTGATTGATTTTTGTGGATTTTAGTGAATTGATATTGATTATTTTTAGTAGCTTATTTTTTTGTTGATTTAAGGATTGATGATATGGTCTATTTGATGGGTGTTTTTGGTGAATTTGTGAACTGTTGGTGAGTGTTGAGAGCTGATTTGAGAGTTTTAGTTCATAGTTGATTTGGAGTTGGCATTGTGATAATTTATATGCACATAGGGGTTATTTGGTTTAGGACTGTTTATGAGCAATTTTGGGGACACATTTGTCACTTTTGTAACTCTTCATTATGGATAATTTGGAGCACTATTAAGACCATTGTTAATAAGATTTTGGTTTGTTACATTTTTTGTTGTTCTCTGGGTGGATACTTGATTATGGTGAATTTGAAGTCATCACTTTCATTTTGTATACTTAGGAACCAATGTGAAATGCCACTGAAATCTTGTCAAATTTAATGTATGAAACTTGACCTTTATGTATTAATCAAGTAGAAAGAATTATATTCTTGAATGGGTAGGGTCACACTTAGTATTAAAGAATGAGGTTTAAATGGATTATGTTAGACAAATGAAATGATAGATCAAAGCTAGATTAACTATTTATGCACAATTGTTGAGTATGAGAATGGAATGGAAGAGTGGTGATGATTTTTCACTCT